ATGTTTGGTTATAAACATATCAAGGCTCAAATTTTGTTAAAAATAAAATAAGAAAACAACAAGTATATTGTAAAGACTTCTCTAAACTACACATATTTTGTAAACTAACTGACTAACAATACTATTAAACTTAAGCATTATCAATAAGTTTAATAATAATAAAAAAAAGATGAGAATTTCTTTACAAAATATCTTGTATTTTGTAAATAAATTTGTTCTCATCTTATCCTGGGAAAGAAATAGTATGTTTCTGGGACTTGGTATATATGGTACATAATCCAACAAAAATCAAGTATGCAAAAATAAACTAAATTAAACTCTTCTTGCATTAAAAACAGCTACAGAGTTTCCCTTAATGTTGAGTATACTCTTCTACATATTTAAATCTATTTCACGAAGACTTAAATTTAGAGTGAAGCCTTCACACTGTTTAGCACACTGACTGAAAATGTTTAAAAAAAATTGTACAATAAAAATCATTTTTTTAGCAAAGGCTAACTTATATTCAGTTGAAAAAATTGGTATATAAACAAGAATCTTTTTTTTATTTTTAAGTCCTACATATACTGAAACACAGGTCTAAGTTGAGGAAACTAAGATGTACAAACTCTTTTCTATCTATCCAAAACTGTTTGTTAAACAGTGTGGAGACTTTGTTCTAAAAAACAGAGCTGCTCTTGAATCAAGAGCAGCTCTGTTTTTTAGAATAAAGTCTCCACACTGTTTAACAAACAGTTTTGGATAGATAGAAATCAAGACTTGATGTTGAGTATACTTCTCTACATGTGTAAATCTATTCCATGTAAGTTTAAATTATTTTTAATGCAAGGAGAGTTCAATTTACCGTTAACTTTAACATGCTGCTTTAAAGCAGGGCAAAAAATTATTTGATTTTTGTTGAAAGTGTACCATATATACATAAATATTGTAAATATTTTTTAATGTTTTTGATTTTTTAACCTTTCCAAAAATCATTTGAAATTTAACTTATATTCTTTTTTTGTAATTGGCATCTAAAATTCTTAAAATGGGCCTAGACCCCCTCAATTTTACCCATTACCCCATTTGTGACCATTATAATTTTTTTCCGATTTCAAACACTCTTTTCTATTTTTATAGAACAAATATTTTTTTGAATAGAGTATTAGCTCTATAAAAATAGAAAAGAGTGTTTTGTAAAATCGGAAAAAAATTATAATAGTTAAAAATAAAAATAGTAAAATAATAATAATAATAATAATAATAATAATAATAATAATAATAATAATAATAATAACAATAATAATAATAATAATAATAATAATAGCCATGTTTTAAATTG